AGTGATCAAAAATACAAACACATCGGTTAAACCTGTCGTGATAAAGAGTCGATGCTATTTATAATCCGTGTTCACGCCACTATTTGACGTAAAATAAATTTGTCATATACCTCCTATTGTAAAAAAAGATCTACCGGTGGAAATTTTATCGATAAATAAAAATCTCCGACTTTGAAATATATGGTTTTAAAATAAAAATTGAAAAATGAATAATAAAGATGTAAAAAGAGCATTAATTTGAAAATATTAAAACAGTCTTAGCAATTAATGTTTTCTTTACATTAAGAGAAATGTTTTGTATCAATAATCAAAATTTTGTTATTGACACAAAAACTATTTGTTGATATATGATCAATCAAATCGTTGATTACCACGACAATATTAATTTGTTAAATTTATTAAATGAACTAATAATTTAATGATATAAAACTGTTTTGAATGATGTTTATAGATCTTTTGTAATTAGAAATAGAACATTTTGTTACCGGAACAAAACGGTTTATATATACATAAGAATAATATATATATATATATTATTCTTATGTATATATAAACCGTTTTGTTCCGGTATATATATATATATATATCTTTCACTTTCTACAGACTGAAATTGTTTGACGTTTTTGAATTTCCTTAGCAAAGGTATATATAGATTTAGATCAATTGAGATTACTAATCACTCTGAAAAAATGGTTGTCATGATTGGTCATGGTGTGGCGACAGCCGAGAAGTCCATGAGAGTAGTCTCTAATCGTCCCAGCTTTATACAGGTAGACGTTGAATTTCTCTTACAAGAAGACACACCATCTCTGACAGCTCTGCGAAACGTTTCTCGCTCTCACCATAGTGGATTATTTTGTTGAAATTAATAAAAGAATAGTCATTTTGTAATGGCAACTAAATTTTACATTGTTATTTACAAAACGTAAGTAACCAAATAAATTTGTACCGTTAAATAAAAACATTTTGTTCATCTCACAAAAAAATATTTTGTAATTTCGTATTTTGTAATTTCAACAAAATAATCCAATGATAATTGATCATTTGTGGATAATTCTCTTTTTTTGCTACCAATACTATATCTTTTTTTTCAGTGTATCATATTTGTGTCAGTAACATATAATTCATATATTTTTTTTAAGTAGTAGCGAGTTTGTATTATTAAATTTTTAGTCAGCCACGCACGTCCATCTTGCGTCTTCCGATTTCTTACGCTTACCGTAAAATGTGATCGGCCGGTTCTGATTATAATTTAAATGCACTCGCCGATACGGGTCGCGAAGTACGCCATTCACACACGCAACACATGTCTTGGACGGCGATATCCCGCATACCGGATACCTCGAGGGACAGTCACGAATTAATTAATCGCCGAATAGGCGTTAACGCCGACCGTAATAATGGCGATCGGCCGATGACGATTAAGGCCGATCCAGTCGGCGGCAAAGATATGCAGAGAAAGTCCGGTCGGCTCCGTGTCGTGTACGCCTGTGTCCGGTCATTGCACCACATAATTCCTTCTACTTTTTTTACCTTGCGCTACGACCGCTACGAATGTCAGAACGCAATTTTATCCAGATACTATCTGCGTGTTATCACTATCGTGTTTCATGCGATCGCGTTTAGATGATTGTTCAGGAGCAGACCAAAACTGGGAAAGTCTCGTTTCGCGACAACAAATTGAAATAATACTAAATTTTAATAAATATTCATTTGAATAATTTTAAGTAAATGTTTGCGAAATGTAAATATATATTTATGCGATGCAAAAATCATTAATTTGATTTAACTATCATTTTTTATTCAGTAAATATTTATTTATTCAATAAAAAAAGTTAAAAATAAAAGTCAAATTAATGATTTTTGTATCACATCAATACATGTTTACATTTAGTAAATATTTATTTAAAACTATTCAAGTAAATATTTATTTATTGCAAGTATATTTAGTATTATTCAAAGAAATATGTAAGATTTAATAAATTTCTTTTCAGTGAACGAAATAAAACGGAAGGAAGATACGTGATAGAAAGAGCATGTCGTCTTTCGTTGATATGGAAGAGTCGCGTTTTCAAAAGTCGCACTCTCTCATTAGCATAATTTTTTTAGTGAACTTGGAGCCGGTTTCCAGCAGGAGTCTTTAGTGATGAATTTATATTTATACGATTATGTGATTCTTTCAAGTTTCAAGACTGAATAACCGGACAGCTAATTTTTATTGAATTGGATTTCTTCTAAGAGATTATAAACAAAGTTATAAATAAAGATTCAAGATTTTCTAAGAAACAAATAATAAAATATTATTTATTTTTTAAACAAATTCAAGCAGCAAAAATATTACTTTCACCATTATTTGCATTACGTTTATTTTAATCACTAATTAAAGATTAATTTTTTTTTCGTCATTCGTCAATAACAATTCAACTTTAAATTAGTAAAGAATTTATAACTGATCTTTAAATTTTTATTTGTGTCGCTTCGAAAAGAAGCCGAAAGAAAAGCTCTTCGAAAGGGCGATTTAAGAAGGCACAGGTATTTAAAGAAAGTACTACAAAACATCGAATTTTTAAAATATTTTTTAAAGCTTGATTTCTCAGGAATGTTTCTGTAAAATTATAAATCGATCGAAAAATGGAAAACACAAAATTATAGTCGAGTGCACCGAACGAGTCAAATTTATATTATACCTGAAACAGGATTTTTTAAAGTATAAAGAAGGATTTTTCTCGTTTCTATTGTATTCATCAAACTTTTGAGCAGCAAAGGATTTGTTTTATGGCCCTCTAGTAGGTAATTCAATGTAAGTGTAAAACTTTTGGTGCATGTTTTCGTAGGACATTGAGAGAAAAATGTTTGGTATTTGTAACTATAATTATATATTACAATAATTATGGTTATTACTGCTATAATAATAATAACAGTAACATGTTGACAACCTAAAATGACTATAATTATAGTTATTACAACTATAAAAATGATTAAAATTACCATAAAAATAATTCAAATTACTGTAATTTTACTATGATTCAAATTATCATAATTTTATTTTTTTTTATATTAATATATTTTTTCGCAATCAAAAAACAAATAAAATTTTTGGAGAAAAATCGATATTTGACTTTGACTAACTGCCATTTTGTTCAAAAGCAATGTTTCGAAAAACGGCTACGTCAAATACTAGATTTATGTTTCAACTTCATAAAGCTTGTGTCGTTTTGCTTTTAGATAAATTTTGTGGAAGCGGCATTAATCCGCGACCATGTTTATTAAAACGAGCTTCACAAGAACGTTAATAACATTGCCTTTTTTAATTACTTTTTAATAAAATTTAGACGACAAAGGGAGAAAAATACACCTTTACAATGAAATAAACCCAACTTCTTTATTTCTTTCCTTCTAGAAAAAATTCATAAAATTAGACTTTATTTTGACGCGTCTAGATATCTATGCCTCCTTAAAAAGACGACGAGAAGGGTGAGATTCACGACCGATGAACGTCAATACAGAATTAGTTATGGTCTTGCTGTTTGCTGATGTATTGATCGTGAGAGGTATCGCGCGCTTCCGGTTGGTTATTCACGTGCCAAGGCTGCACGATCGAGAATATAGCGCAACGTGTATCTATCGTTCTTAATTGCCGCTTATCTAGACGCATAATTACCGATGATATGAATTAAGCACCGGCCCAATTTTTTCATCGCCCAAAACAACTCGATTGAAATGAAAGCGAAACGTCGACGAATACGTCGAGTCGATTATTGATAAAATATCGATGTTATTTTTTACAAGTAATACGGCTTCCGATCTACATAAACATTCACAAACAAATAAACTTTAAAGTAAATCCTACGATCCGGCTCTCAATACGACTACTTGAATAACGACAAATATAAGAAGATATATAGCTTAATTAATCGTGCGACGTTGTTGGGATTAATGAAGAGACAGTTTATTCGTAAACATATTATTTATATTACAAATGATAATGGGTTCAATTTAACATAACTGCTTGCGTGATATTTTTTGTGCGTTTGTAGTTCAATTAATTATGCGTAATGTGTTTGCCTTTAACGATAATGTAACATGCGTAAAAATTGATTACTTTGAGCACACATTTATCCCATCAAATTAATAACTAATTCGTGTATTAAAACGATATATTGGCAAACATATCAAATGACTTCAATATTTCTAACATTAATTTACTTGCAATATTTTTTATCAGTCCAGTCGTAATACGAGAAATTTTTTCTTTTTATTTTTGTGAATTGCCTACAAATATCTCGGAGCAAAACAACACAAGTTACATTAGCCAGTTATCCTCCAATCAACCATAAATGGAAAGAGCGATTTTACTAAAGTATCTAAAAGTTTAACTAGGTGTATTCCGAAAGTTTACATTGTGATATTCTCAAAATTAACTTTTTAAATTAAAATTAATATTTTGTTAATGTTGAATGAGTGGAACGACAATAAAGTAAAAAATTAAGCTTTATTTCATACACGGAAAAACAATTTAGTTATCTAAAAACTTAGCTATAAATACAGATTTAAAAATAATTTGTTGAACCTTCAACACATTTATATAGGAAACTCAAGCCTGATGAGCAATGCTGCAAAAAATTTGGCATTCTAATAACCGGCCTGAGTGTTCTACATATAATAATTATTTTGATAGTTCAACAGATTTACGTTCAGATCTGCATTTAGCTAAATTTGCAGATACTTCAGCAAAAACTATTCTTTCCATATATGAAACAAAGTTTAATCTTTTACTTTTTATTCTCATTCTACTAACCAACAATAATAAAACATTAATGTCAATTTAATTTTAATTAACTTTAATTTTTTAAAAATTAATTTTGAAAATATCACAATGTAAATTTTCAGAATATACACCCAGTAAAACAATAACATATTCTTTCTTTTTATTATTTATAAAGTTCTAATCTTTGTACTGCAATGATAATTTAATAAATTCTGTTTCGATTTTCACTCACCCTTGGCCCATCCGGTCAGCACATTCCCGAGATACGCGACTTTGTAGGAGGGATCGTATTCGGTAATCGATGCATTGCCTCTGTGCCTCCTCCAGAGTCGACCCAGTCCTCTCTTCAAGGATCTCAGTGTTCTCTGACCGAATTCCTTGCTCGCACTGGAGGATTGCACCGTGCCATCGTTCTCGTCGATGGGATCCGCGACGACATCGCCCATCGTCTTCATCCTCACGTTTGTCTCTTTGCGAATAATTCCTTGTCGAACTTTCGCACTGGTTTCTAGTTCACGTAAGAAAGTCCGCACCTTTCGGTCGAGGTCACCGCGCTACATTGTGCCACCACTTCGTCGTGCTTCGTGTTTTATTCGAGGGAACGAGATATACGAGGAAGATTGACTTCTTCCTACTCCGGCCGAATAAAAGAAAATCGTCTTGCGATCGCGGTTAGTGATCGGTTTCGATAATCGAGAGAAGTTGTGAAACTCGTATAAATCGTCGGCGTTAAGCTATGTAAGCGACTGTCGATCGATCGTCAGAAATTGTCGTTCGCCGCTTCCAAGGCCGTACCTCTCCTCGATCGTTATTTGCGCGCGCGTGGAAAGATCGCGGCTTCGTTCCCTCGTGCGACCCCGCGTGTCATCTCCTTTCCTTCCGCGTTCCTCCTGCCCGCCGGCGAAGTTCACGATACGTTTCTGAAACAGAACGAAAAATCGTTGACGCAAAGGTCGATTTCCAAGGGACCGACCGGTTATCGGCTCCACGAAATAAAAACGGTGTGACTTACATACGTTGGTAAAATACATTTTTTTTTTTTTCAGTATAACGGATCCTCGATCGAAGATGCGCGAAATAAATTGCGGAAACGCTTGGATCGATCGAAATTTATTGGCTCGGGATCCTTTGAACGTGATAAATTTTTTTAAACTGAGCTGTCAAAGCTCAATTTTCGAGAAAGTTTTTGATTGGGATCGCGCCCAAATAGATATTAACTAAGAAACTTTCTCTCATGCGTTCTCTCTTAATATTCGATTGGAAAAAAGATAAAACGACAATAAATATCAGAGCGAATACAAATAAAGTATTCCGGTGCAGGAGTAATTAAAATAATAAAAATTTGTTTTTACATGTAGATTGTCAGGAATTAGAAATTGGTTACGATCAATTGGTTACGATTGAATTTTCAATTTTTTTTTATCGTTTCTAGAATCTTAAGAAAGTTACATTCAAAGTAGAAAGTACTACTTATAAAAATACAGATGTGGGAGAAAGTAAAATAACTGATAACGAGTGCAGTGTTCCAAATACGTACGAAAGTAATCATGATTGAGTCGCATGAAGGCTTTTATCACCTCCGTAAAAAATATAAGATAATATTAAAAGTGCTCGATATTCCCTTCCCCTCGCAAAATTCTGGAAAGAACGTATAATTATTAGATAATTATCAATAATAAAACGTTGTTGCGATCGATATTAAATCTTTTTTTTTTCCTCCTCCGTGTAACGTTCAAGTGCATTAATCGATATCAACAAGAACAAGATTGTCTTTCTTGTGGAAACTGCATCAACGTTGAAAAATTAGTTTTCGCGAAACGTAACGAACTCGCACGTAGAACGTGCATTGATAAGAATTTAAATGAGGACGAGAGGCAAACTTAAAACGGTTTGGTGGATTTTTAGTACAAGGCTGTTGTGTATCTCGTGCTTGTTTTAAGATCGTAATATACGAGAGTGTAAGTACGCGCGCGTTCATCCGGTTAATTTATCTCACCGGAAATTACGGTTTTCACCGGAAATCTTGCGGTCTGCCGCGAGATTTCTTGATCTTCGCTAAAATAAATCCCTGTTTAATGGATGTTGTAATAAATTCCATGTTTTATCGCGACGATTAACATTAATAATCAATGAATTAACATGCTCTCTAAAAGTGTCAGTATATTTTTACTGACTTTAGTGCTACACTTATAAATGATGTATTATCAGCGATTGTTTACTGTTTTTCAGTAATAATACACTAATTCACTTTCATATGATTTTTTGTAGATTCACTTGTAGAAAATCCTAATCTTTAAAAGTGAATCAGTGTATTATTATACTAAAAAATATTCGCTAATGATTACATTAGTTGTAACTGTGGCTGAAGTCACTAATACTAAAGTCACTAATTCACTTTTAGAGAGTACATTAAATTAAGCAATAAGTAATTATATAGAAAAGCATTCCACTGGAATTCTGTATTTCTTAATTATTGATCATTAGAATAAACATTGAAAAATTAATAGCAATTACAAATTTCAGTTTTCTATAAAGAATTATTTTGCGCACTGCTGGAGCACGGCGGTTAGTCGTCTCAACATTGCGAAAGGGACCCGGGAAAAATATTTCCGGATTCGAATGAATATTTTTCACTTCTTCTCATGCGTTTCTCTAGTCCTAAAACTGTCTATCATCATTTACTAAATATCCCGTATTACGCGGCGCTGCTATGTTGTTTACGAATATTTTTCGTAATTGAAACATGTGCGACCAGCGTGGATAATCGTCTGGTATATAATCGGTATACAGTGTAGTTATAATGCAGCGACAGGTGAACTATTGTTGTTTAGACGTGGGACTTGCTGCATTTCTTGCAAATAACGTGGAAGATAAAAAATTACGACAGCGTTTTCATAACTCATCAACTGCGCAGGAAGCTCTCTCTTAATTATGCACAAAATAAATGCTTGCAGATATAAAAATAATGTTAAAAAAACTTTTTTAAAGAATTAGTTTAGTAGAATTCTTTGTGCAAAATTGTTCCTCAAATTTATTATGTAGTAGCATAATAAATCTTGAGATGCATCCATCAATTAATTACGTAATCACATACGGAGTACATAAGTAATTATCATATTTGTGTTGTCTGCGTTTGGTTATTTAGTGGTGTTATCGCTAACTTCGAATCTAAGCAAGGAAATTAATGACCTGTGTGTATGAAGCACACAATGCGCCGTACGATTTTTTTTCCCATGCAGAACTTTGCAATTAGAAAAAAATATGAATCCTTAAATACGTTCCCAAGAAACATTTTGAAATCAATGTTTTGAGTTTAAAATGAATTTTATAAGATTTTTGATAAGATTATTTATAAAAGTCCTTCCGATGTAAGGAGGCAGATTTTTACAAACCACTTTTTTCAATAAAACGTGAAAATACGCAAGATTATCACGACATGTGCAGCAGTAAGTTCGATAAGAAAAAACCTTCATTTAAAAATATACAATTTTAACACTTAAAACAACGACATACATAATTATTGTAATAATGTAAAAACAAATTGATATTTTTTATTGAACGATCGTGTAAGTTTTATTAGAGACATAAATTAGCAAATATATATAGCATGACTCAAGAAAGAAAAAAGAAAAAAGTTACGTGCTTTTGTGACACGATTTCATAACTTTAGATTTTAAATATTATAAGACTTCTTTTAAGTTAGGTATATAACATTGTTAAAAAAAAAATTATGTTATACAACAGCATTATTTTAATTGAAAATAATCTTGTTAGTTCACAATAATAGTATTAATGAAACAAATAAAATTTTATTAAAACAAGAGTATATGTTTTATTTCATTAATAGTGTTATTGAATTAACAAAATTATTTTCAATTAAAATAATGTTGATATATATGGTATAACATCACATATTTTTCAGTGTATCTTTTAAAATCTATCTTGAAAATCCAACAGTCCACAATGCAGGGAGAAAAATAAGTATTTCGATCACCGTTTAGTTTTTACATTATTACACCGTTTTTACGCTTGGTAAGTTATAAAAATTGCAATTTCGGAAAGATCTGCAGGATAAACATTATATATTCGCGTGTAACCACAATGCTGCGAGTTCCCCGAGACTAAGTTTAAAAATAGCTGGCGGATTTGCATTTGCGTAAGAAGTGGTTAGACACGATGACTGCCCTGACAGAGAACAAGTGTGATATACTGGAAATAAATCATCAGGGATTTATTGACCGTCTGTCGTTGTCGCGTAACTGAAAGCGCTTATATGCTCGACGCAAAGCAGACGGTGCATAAAACTGTCTGTCCAATTCACATTGCATGGACTCATCATCGTCGTCGTGCAGATCAAGTTGCGTTACGTCAAGACTGACATTGGTCGCCACACCTGCGGTTTGTCTGTCTCGCCCGGTGTGTTTTGCGTGAATGAATCGCGTACGTGCATCTTGGCGTGCGGTTCTGTAATTTTGTCGGATAAAAAGCGACAAGATGATAATTGTGACCGGTCTTGCTTTCTCGCGCGATCCCCGAACGTATGATCCGCGAACGAAGACATTTAACCCGCGCGGATATTTAACCTCAATGTGTCGTGCATTAATTAGAATCACGCAAACAACTTGAGGTCGTTCGGTCAAGGCGTGTTGCAATACGATGTCACGATGGTGTTACAATAAAATATTACAATCTTATAAAAGTCGAACTTAAATTCAAAACTTAATTTACACGCGAAGATAAACGATAATGTATTTTTACATGATATTTTGTAATAATAATATAAAAATAAAAAAGTTTCGATTGTATAAATTAAAGGTACAATATATATAAGGTACATCACTTTAATTTTGCAGATCGAAACTAAACTACTAATTCTTTAAATTAATTAAATTTTGCAAAATTAAAAATATATACTATAATGATATAAAGAGATGTTTATATTATATAGTTAATTTAGAAGATTAGTTAGACGTTAATTTCGTGCAATATTAAAATATTTAATAAAAATAATCTGGACTGTTATATACAATCGTGACAATTTGATTTAATTACTTTTAATTATCACTATTCATACATGATCATTAAATTCGTCATTTATATAGAGACGTTATAAAAATCCAAATATTAATATAATAACACATAATGACTTTAATAAGATTCCGTACATATGCAACTCTATTATTAATTCTTTTTTAATAAAAGTTAATCTTTTTTAATAAATAGTTACAAAGATTGATAAACTAAAAAATAAACTAATGGAATATTCCACTGACACTCGAATGATATCACTCGTATTTATGTAAACTCGTCTGAATATAATTTTTTTATGAACCTAATGATGTCTATTTAATAATATCTCTACAATATTTGCTAACATCAATTAAATAATCAATTATTTATCGAACCACTGTTTTTATCAAATGTACTTATCTAGATAATAAAACTTCTTTAGTAAAGTAAAAAAGAAAAATGAAATATTGAATCAAAATGAAAAATGAAATCATATTTTTTTTAGTCAAAATAAATGGTATTTTTTTCAGTCAATTTACATATTTAATACATAAATATATTCATTATTCCTCATTTTTAATAAGATGAAGTAACAGAATTGCTAGTAAAATAACAATTTTTTTTAAATAAAAAATTGTCAGTAATCGATTAAAATTGATTGTTAATAAAATTGATTGTAAATGATTAAAAAGCTAAACTGCTTCGTTCAGCTTGGATTTCTAAAAATATGAATTTATTGGCTAATTTGATAGGCAAATGTAACCAACAAGAATTTGTCATCACAACTCATTTTTTCTTCTCAGAATAGTGACATCAGAGGAAAGTATACAAAGAAATTAATTAGTTCATTGCATATTCCAAGCTATTCCATATATTTATTAACTTATTGTTCAGTCATATAACAAAATTG